AAAAAAAAAAAAAAAAAAAAAAAAGCAGTGTAGCAACAACAGCCCCGCCCCCCTGTTCGTCCCTCTCCTCTGCCGCAGCGTGGCTGCGGCGCGTCCACTTGTTCCTATTAAAAAATACAGTGTGGCAGGAGAGAAGGTTAACGGAGACCCTAATTTTCAGACCACTTGCCATGCCATTTATAAGAAAACCAAAAGGTCCTTTTAATCAAACTTGCCACCAATTCATAGAGTGAAGACCATACTAACTAACTGCAAAAAAAAATCATAAACATATTAAAAAAACATAAAATTTGACCCCAAAACCCTAATTTCAGTTTTGGACTCGTTACCCAGGGCTTGAAATTGGGGGTCCCCGTTAACCACTTGTGACCTCTCTCTGCTCTGTGCCGGGAGCAGCGCCCAAGCTCCTAACACCTGGCATGGGCTGGAAAGGTTGCAAACTTTCACAACCCGCCAGGAGGGACAAGCTGATTTTTCAGTCGGTGAACTCATAGTAAGGGGTGCCCACGGGGTCATGGGGTGTCAAATGGATGCCGTGGAGAATCAACCAACTGAGATAGGCGGCTTGGCTTTTTCTTTCTTTCTTTCTTTTCTTCTCTTTTGTTTTCTTTCTTTTTTTTTGTAAATCCCAAGTTGTTGTAGAGGCCAGGTTCCAGACACATGGTGGTTGCCGCACCAGCCAGCCAGTGGTTGTCCTGACATTTTTTTCTTTTGTGAGACCGCCTCCCGACCCATCCTCTCAACGTGACAATGCTCCAATCCATTCGAGGGAACCAACACATGCTGGAAACCGGCCCAGCGTCCATCATGAAAATACAGAAAACAAATTGAGGTACCGGGGTAAACAAGTAGGAACCGGACTGTCGCTCCCCAGAATGGCAGGGGCCGGAACCGAAAGGTTCTGATTTTTCTCAAAAAAAAAAAAAAAAAAAAAAAGTACTAACCTACTAGAATAAAGTCTACTGAATATTCCACACAAGAACGCTGAGAATGCCGAACCTTTCTCCAGAAAGTCACAAACATCTCACTGATGATCACAAACTTTTTTTTTTTTCTTTGAAACATCTGTTTCTATTGCTACCCATGACCCAGAGAGTGAAAACAGGTAACCGTTTCCCGTACCCGACCGTACCCATCTGTAACCGCCAGGTTACGGGTGGGGTTGGGTACTCCTTCCGAAGGAGGAGTTGGGTATGGGCAGGTAAAAATAATAGTGGTCGTTGTTAGGGCAGGCACTGTTGCCCTTATGGAGATGGGCGGGTAGGGGCAGGTAAGGGCAGGGAAAAACAAAAAAAAAAACTGGTATGGGCGGACAAAAAGAAAAATAAAACGGGTGTACGAATGGCAACAAAAAAAATTGGTACGAGTATGGGCGGGTAGAGGTTCCTATCAGGTAACCGTAGTATTCCTAGTACCTACCCATCCCAACTCCCCAACGAAACGACCTACCCCCCCCCCCTCCCCCCTCTCCGTCCACCACAAGTTTTAGGCCTATGTTTTTTTCTCGCTGCCTCATGGAAAGTCCCAAATGGCCATTTTTTTTTTTTCACCTTGGCAAGCCGCTGGATTGTTGAAAGTCCAAAAGTTTCCCAACTTCAAGTTGGGCCTTTCAAGTGGGCCTGGCTTCACTACTCAAGAAATGTAAAGAAGAAAAACAAAAAAGGCCATGTACCTTCCCATGTTCCAGCAGAAGATTCATTCTCAGTTTCAACATTCCGTGAGTAGTGAAGTGAGGCCCATTGCCTCTCACCCCTTTCCATTCCCTGTGCCCACTACTCCCTGGAGTCCCCGCCCGTCGTTCACGTCCCCATCCGTCATCCTCCCCGCTGCCCGTTGTTGTCCATCCTCTATAGTTTCCATGGTCGGCTTCGCAAGTGTGACCCAGCAGGAGGACATCGCAGGTGTGATTGGAAGCAGCAGCAGGCGTCATGACTCAGGAGACAGGCACAGGCAGTTGCGGGTGGTGCATACAATTGTGGGTGGGTACACGTGGGTATGGGTGGGTACGGGTAAAGAAAACCTGTGTTGGGTAGGGTACGAGTGGTTAACAAACAGTTTCGGTTCAGGTGGCCATGGTTTTGAAAAAAATGTAAATAGGCAGGTATGGGCAGTTACAGTCTGAAGATACTCAGGTAAGGCAAGTATGGGTACACGTCTTTTTCTTTTGGAGCAGGTAGGCATGGGTAAAGGTCTGGTAGGCCAGGTATACAGTGGGTATGGGTGGTTGGTTTTCAAAGAGGGTGTGGTTAGGT